TTTATTCACTTGTAACATATACATCTTGTGTGTGTGCTACCAACTTTAAAAGAAAAACCATAAAATTTTCTGCAATGTGCCTGAGTTGCCAGTATTGGGAAATAGGAGGGAATTAAAGCAGGGATTTCCAGCACTTTTATTATACATTATACTATACTACAAGTCCCCCCCAGTTATTTGCATAATAGTGAATTGGATTGTTAACAGAATACCAATGGGTCATACAGAGCCCTGAATTGTAAATAGAAGAAAACAGATGATAAGAAAATTCTAAAGACCAATAAATAGAAAATCAGTTCCCAAAAGATTATGGATCATTGCTTTTGCATGTACAGAGCAACCTAGAAGAGGAAAGGTGTGGGCAGAGCAGAGAGAACTGAGTGAAAGTGACTGGAGCCAAGTTGCCAGGTTCAAAATGAAGCCCATCATTTCCCCAAGCTATGTGAAATTAGGTGTGTTCCTGTACCCCCTTGTGCTTCGTTTCCTCATTTGCAATTAATAATCATAAACTATTAATAGCACCTACCTCGTCTGGTCATTAGGATTAAAGATGTAAGTACAAGTTTAGCTTTGAGTCCATGGTTCAAGAAACTCTCCGTGTGTACTAGCCATTTTTCTCTTTACCAAGTCCCCTACTAGGCAAGATGCAGATATGATGCCCAATAGGGACTGTGGGCAGCAAAAGGAAGGCAGCCTTTCCTCCCCTGGGGCCCTGGCATCATGTATGTATTGGAATTCTAGGTAGGAGGAGGTCTTCCTGCCACATCTGGGCACCCAGCAATCTGTTAAGTTTTTACTCCCTACACTTGTCCTTATTCTTACAAGTTTTCAAGATCAGTTACACATTTAAAGCACATCAAGTTAGATTTTAGTTTTAGTTCCTCTTATATATATTTGGAATTAGAGCCTCCAGAGGCCATTATGCAAATCTATGCAGATGATATGCAAAGAGACGGTAGCCCCAGATTGTGGGGAGGGGAGTGTGCAGACCAGCACAAAGGGCCTTGAATGAAAATTTGCATCTGTTAGGGAAGCCCTGAGTTGAAGGCCTTGCACAGTTATTGTGACAGTGTGTGAGTTCCATTCAGCAGTTAACCTTTGATGCGACGTGGAGAGCTATTCTTTCCTGTCTTCCATATTAAGGGTGACATGCAGTTGGAGGTGTTGGACAGTCCAATATTATAGCAGTTTTTAATGCTAAGAAATGAAAAGTTGCTTTGAAAAAATAGTGTTCTAGACTGTGTCCCCAACACACTACGTGTTCCTGGATAAGTCACTCCTTCCATTGCACCCTCTGTGAAATGACAGTAATGGCTTAAGTTATTTCTAGGGTCCCTTTAACTGTGACAGTTAAATGTCATCCTCCAGGCAAAGATCCTTTGTGACCAAGATGGCAGTGTCCAGTCATTGCACCAGAGATTAAAGTCTAAAAAAATAAAAAGCCGAGAGGTAATTTAATAGTTGTACTAGAGAGAAAAATCATTTCAGAGGATGTTGGCAACTTCAAAAAAAAAAAAAAAAAAACACTAGCAGCAACGTATCTACTCACACTGAGTATTACAGCAAGAAGGATTCCAGTCATACACTTCCCAACTTAGAGGGGGTGGGTTTAGCCCCTGGTGTGTTCATGGTGGGAAAGTTAAGAGAATTTCTTTCTCTGAGTATTTTAAAGACCAGGATGTGTTACCCCTCTGCCTCTGAGGTGCTGCAAAAATTCTTCTAGAGACACAGGGGCTCCTTTCCCTGCACCCACCCACTCCCAGCCCATCACTTGAGTAAGATGGGGTCTCTCTGAAAGGCTTGTGCTACCCTTGATGCTGCTGCCAAAGGACTGTACCCTTCATCTCTGGTCCAGTCAGAACATCTGGTTCTCCACCCCAGGAATCCTCTGGGTCCTTAATTTTAACTCCAGCTGTCACTGCAGCTACCAGCTGGATGCAGACATAGCCTGACAGTCCCTCTGGCAGGGCTTCTGTGACTCAGCCACATGGGCCTCCTGCATGAGCAGGAACTTGCAGTAGACTGAGCACCATGGAGCAGTCATCGAACAGTGGGGATGGGAGCTTCTGGCTAAATAGTGCTCCTCACACACCAACAATTTGAGGTTCTGTCTACTCAGTTCTTCAGAGGTCCCCAGTGAATTTGAGTTGCCCACCTTGATCAACTCATAACCTGTCCTGGGATTGATTTTCCTTGCTTCGCTGTCAAGACCTCCCCCACCCCATGCATGACTGTCCTCTCAGATCACTTCCCAAAATAAACTACCTGCACACAAAGCCAGGTCTCTGCCTCACCTCTTGGAGTTCTCTAATTGAAGGCACTTCTGTCAGTCTGCTGGCACCACCATAGTGAAGTACCACATGACGGATAGCTTCAACAACAGAAATTTGTTTTCTCATAGCTCTGAAAGCTGTACAGACAACATGAAGATGCTGACAGGGTTGGTATCTGTTAAGACCCTTCTCCCTGACTTGTAGAGAGCCACCTTCACCAAGACCTCTCACAGCCTTTTTCACAAGCATTCTGGTGTGTGTGTGTGTGTCATGTGTCTGTGTCCCAATCTCCTCTTCTTGTAAGAACATGGGTCACATTGGGTTAGGACCCACCCTGTTGGTTTGTTTCCTTAATCACCCCATTTTATTTTTTTTTAAATAATAAATTTTATTTTTATATTCCCCATACAATTGCAGCCCCCCCATTCTGACCCCAATCCCTCCCCTCCCACCCCCGCCCCCCAAAAAGTGTCTCTGGTTCATAGTTTTTTGTTGATTTTGATTTTCACTTTCTTATAGTTATTCATTTTCCTGGTCCCTTATTTAAGTTTTCTAGATTCCTGCTATGAGTGAGACCATCCGGTATTTTTCTTTTTCTTTTTGGCTTATTTCGCTGAGCATGATCCCTTCCAGCGCCATCCATGTTGCTGCAAATTGCATGAATCACCCCATTTTAAAGACCCTGTCCCAACTACAGTCGCATTCCAGGTTGCTGGGAGTTACGACTTCAGTGGATGAAGGTTGGGGGAGTAGAATCCAGTATGTAACAATGCTTGTGTTGAACCGAGTTCTTTGAGAGCCAAACAGAGGCTTGTGATAGCAGAGGTCACACTCGCCAGTTCTACAAGTAGATTGTGCTGGGAGTTAAGCTGCAGGGCAAGACTGGAGGAACCCTGAATGGCCAGCATAGACCAGCACTGTTGCTTCTTCTGTGGGCTCAATGTACTGCCCTTGTCCTCCTCGTTGTGCAAACTGGTGGTTGACCAGGAAGAGCAAGCATTTTGAATGCTACCCGAGTTCCTTATACTTCTGAGGAACTGTGAAGTATCACTTCTCTCCCTGAGTAGTTGTGAGGCTTAATTGAGGATGAGAGACTGGGCAGGAGTGGATGCTCAGTAAACAGTTTTTAGGATTGATTTGAATAAGCAGAGCATCCTGTTGATGTTGGGTCCAGATCACAAATGAAAGTTGAGGAAAAAAATGGGTTGCTCAGGCAAATTCTTAGTCCTAGATCTCAGTGCTACAGTCTCTGTTCCTCTATAGTCCCTGAATCCCCTCTCACCCATTAATTTAGAGCTGCAGGGTACGGAGAACACTGGTCCTCACCTAAATTGGAGATGGCCTTGATAGTGATCCTGGACCTTTTGCCAAAAATTTGCCAGGAAACTATCTCCCCCTCTTGCCTCCAGGAATTCACCAAGGCTTCTCCCTTCCCCTGCAGCAGCTTCCCTGCCCGTCCGGGAGTCCTGGGAATCACCACCAGCACCCCTCCTTTGGCTCTTCATCCTCCTGGAATCTTATGGGGTAGGGAAGCCCCAGAGCATTACTAGATAGTGCCAGATCTCTACCCACTGTGTGGGTGGCCAGCAGGACTGAAGGAAGAGCATGAGAGTGACCCAGAAGGCTTCATGTCAAGAAAAAGAGGTTCACAAGTGAGAATCAGGCCTTAGGGACTGTCAGTCTGCCCCCCTGCAGCAGCGACCAGCTCTTCCCAAGCCAAGTGTTTTATGGGCTAGTCAGTCTGACAGTCTATAATCTAAATATGCCCTCCATCTCACATTTATATTGTTTTTAAAGATAGGCACATGCTGTGGTTAATAAAATCTGCTCATATTTAGACATGTTTCTAAATTTATACATTTTTGACCTTGTGCATTTTCTCAGTGAACTGAAAGCTTGCACTGGCCATCATGCAATGTCTATGCTCTCTCAATACTTAGAGGGAAGGACACCTCCTTCTATGCAAAGGCTGGTAACCACCAATGATTCTCCTGAGTTCCGCGCCATAACTGCCTTTGGAAACACACTTAACACTGATGACAACTATAAAACCAGCAACCTTTTCTGGAACACATCTTCTCTTCCAGACTCTGCTGGATCTGGTCACCCTCTTCTGTACCCCTGTCTCTTATGCATGGCGCTGTGACATCTTTGCCTTATTTTAGGATTGCTTATGGATTTGTGTGAGCTCACCCAGGGCCAGAAACTACCCTGTTCATTTTTGTGTTCCCCAAGGTGGTGGAAGATTAGACCCTCCTCAATTGTTTGGTGAGTGGCTCGGAATGAACAGATGCCTGAGTGATTAGACCTTTGTCAAGTTCCTAAGTGGGAGATTGAGAAAAAGCACAGGAGTTGGTTAGCTCTGCCTTCCTCATTGGACTGAGATGTGTCACAGAGCTGCCGGCTGCCCTGTGCTCAGGCTGTTGTCACTCCCTGGCTGCAGGGGTGCAGTAGGCACCCAGAGCCCATAAGCCTTCTTCCACATTCCCAGTCCCAATCTGCTCAAAGAAGCCACCCTTGGGTGGAGAACTAATATGCGGGGTGGCATCTTCCTAACAGACCTGGCCCAACTTCACAGGAGTGTCTGGTGTCGGGCAGCGCTGCAGGCCTCAGGAACGCTCCTCATGTTGCCCTTGGGATCTTGGAGCTTTACCAGTTCATAGGTAAGGAATGCCCTCTGAACTCCTCCCCAGATATTTCACCTCTTCTCTCTGTCTCTCTCCCAAGGCTTCCTCCTGATCTTGGCACTGACAGAAGCACCAGTACTTGCCACCCAAGAACCGTCTCCCAGGGAATCTCTTCAGGTCCTCCCCTCAGGCACCATGGTGACAGCACCCCTCGACTCTACCAGACACTCATCCATGGCGGCTGCCCCTTCCTCCATGCTGACACTGACCCGCCACCCTGATGGACCCCCCTCACAGGCTGCAGCTCCCGTGATAACAACAACGTCCCACCCAGATGATCACCCTCCTACCAATGCCATCTCCACCCTGATGGCAGCAACCACTCCCTACTCCGAAGGCTCCCTGCCCATGGGGCCCCTTCCTGCTGCCATGGCAACCACACCCCCTCACTCTGAGAGCCGCCCCCCAGGGGAGGCTGTGCCCACCATTCTGCTGACGAAGCCAACAGGAGCCACCAGTCACCCCACCTCAGCACCTAGCCGGGGGGCCACACGCAGGCCCCCCAGGCCCCCAGGCTCTTCCCGAAAGGGGGCTGGTAGTTCATCACGCCCTGTCCAGCCTGCATCCACTGGCCACGCTGGGAGGAAGGAAGGCCAGTGCAGCCGAAATCAGAGTTCCACGCACCTAGGGCAGAAGCGGCCCCTGGGCAAAATCTTTCAGATCTACAAAGGAAACTTCACAGGGTCTGTGGAGTCTGACCCGCCTGCCCTCACCTCCAGGAATCCGCTCGGGAGCGGCTCCTCCCCACCACAGCCCCAGACAGTGGCTGCAACCATGGTGCCCAGTAGGACCTCATGGGCACCTCCCACCAACCCCCTGGTGCCTACAGAGGACAAGACAGGACCTGGCAGAGCAGACCAGGGGGTGGTTCTACCTTCACCAGCCAAGGAGGGAAGCCGGACACCACTGCAGCCTCAGGTGCCCCTAGCAGTCCACAAGCTGCCACAGTGCCTTCTCAGCACCACCGTGGTGACCCACAGGATGGCCCCAGCCACAGTGACTCCTGGCCTACTGTCACCCCTGGTGACACCCCTGCTGTCACCAGAAGACCTCCATCTGCCAGCTCTGGGGTCTTCAAGGCCTCCGATGGGCCCACCCAGGCTGCCTTCGATGCCAGTGTCTCTGCCCCTTCCACGGGCATTCCTCAGGGAACTTCCACAACCCCACAGGTCCCAGCCCACCCCACCGGGGTCTCAGAAAGCACTGTTTCCCAAGCTGAGGAGGAGACTGCGGCCACCCCCACCATGTCTGACAGGGTACCCAGCCCTTTCTCCACAACGGTGTCCACAGCCACAGGAAACTTCCTCAACCGCCTGGTCCCTGCAGGAACCTGGAAGCCTGGAACAGCAGGGAACATCTCCCATGTGGCTGAAGGGGACAAACCCCAACACAGAGCCACCATCTGCCTGAGCAAGATGGACATCATCTGGGTGATTCTGGCCATCAGTGTGCCCATCTCCTCATGCTGTAAGTGCCTCGACCTCTCTCCACTCCTCCTCCTCTTCTCCCTCTACAACCTTGTCTGTCCGTAGAATTCATTTGCCCGGAGTTGGGCAGTTCCCACCAAAAGCTGGAGAGCTTCCAGAATCTCAGGAAACAAGGTAGCAGGACAAGAAGCATAGGGTATCCCTGCCCCCTACCCTCAGCTCTGCCAGACAGTGACTCAGACACCCACTGAGCAGACAAGCACAGCTCCCAGGAGCTGGGGAGAAGCCCCTGTCTTCAGGCTCTTGACATGATACCTCCCTGCCGCACGCCCCTCAGGGCAGCCTGCCGATGCCTGCAGCGACAAGGCACAGACATCATAGGTGAAAGGGCTACTTCCAAAACTAGAACCTGCAGGTAGCCACGCCATTGCCTTCTTCCTGTCCTACTTCCCTTCCATCTGCCTTCATGGTTTTCCTCTCCTCCCTCGTGGGTTCTCCTCCTCTTTGCTCTCCCACGCCCCCCTCCTCCTGCCACCCCTCAGAAAGAAAAGATGAAGCCCTGACTTTGCTGGAAGTTCTGTCAGCTTGACAAAAATACAGTTCTTTTTACTAAATTGAGACTTGAGGGTTACATGTGAATTTAATTATTCTGCCCTTCCTGCCCCAGCTTTATTTCTTCCTGGGCATCTCCTGCTCCTGCCTGTCATTCCTTTCAGTCTTTCCTCAAGTGTCTCCATAAAGAACCTGACCTAATTGCTCAGGAACTTAGTGCTTTCTTCACCTCTGCCCCATATACTTGATCCTAGATTTTTAGTTTCTCTGATAACCTCACAGGTGTCTTCACCATGCTCAGCCCCGCCCCACCCCAAGTAATTGTCTTTCAGCCTCCCATGAACCTTTCCACCTGAGAAGCACGCATTGCTCCACAGTCATTGGAAGTCTATTCTCCTTAACCCTCAGGTGGTTCCCCTTGGGGACCTGATATTTACCACCGTTTAATTTCTACTCTTTGGTCCTAAACCATGCCCACTTAACCCATACCAATCCCTTGAGATTTTGAAATGACTCTCAATATACAGTCTTCTCGTTTTCCAAGCTGCTGCCTGCTTCTGAGTCTCCTCATAGGGCCACATAGCCCTGGCCCTGGCTTTGCCCCTCCCACTGGCCCCTCTTGATGGCGCTGCATCCCCAGAAGGGATCGCAGCATTGTACACATACCGGGCCCTGTCAAAGGAGAAGGGATGGCAGTGCCTTTGTGCAGGCCTCTTAGGTGGCATGCGGGCAGCCAGCGCTAGAGTCAGCTGTTGGCTGTACCGCCTTTCACATACAGTGTCAGTGGGCTCACCCTGACCTCAAGAGGAATGAAGCCCCAGAAACTTTCTACAGAACCTTTCTCCTAGCTTTTCCTCATCCCTTGGGCCACTTGAACACCAGTGCAGGAGAGGATGCCTCCAACATGAACACGATTTGTGCTCTGCATTGTATTCAGCAAGATCTTTATAATCTAGTTCTTCCCAGGAGACCGGCTTTCTGACTCCTTCAAGTTGATAAGCAAAGCAAACTTTTCATGTTGGGGGGTGAGGGAGGGGGTGGCCTACTACTGCTCAAGGACCCATTTTAGGAAAATGAAAAGGTTTGCAGGTTGCATATTTCATACTTTCATTAGGCATCTTTACTTCCTCTTCTGGGAGCATGCATACATTCTTGAAACTGATTTCCCACTTCTGAAGCAAAAGAATTGCAGTGAGAAAAGGTAGCACTGCTAGTCAATAAATTGTTAATAATGGTCATATTTGGAAAATAACCACATTAGGGGCAACTTATCCATTTTCCATTCTTTACATCTCCAGAGGCTTTAGTTTACAAAGTGAGTTCCCATTATTTTTTATCACACTGTCCTTAAAACAGATTAATGAGAGGGATAAAATTAAAACAAACACATTGCCCAAGGAACACAACTCACAGGCGAGGAGTGAGTCACCAGGTGAATCTACTTGCCCAGATTCCCAAGTGCATATGAGTCAGCTCAGATCTGGTAGAATCTGTCAGGTTCAACACAATATTGCCAAGCACCCAGCATGTGCCAGGGCAATACTAGGGAACCAGAGAGGTGTGACTCGGCTCCCTCCCCAACTCCCAGAGCCCTCACCCCAATGAGGCTTCCTGCTTTGCCTGGGCTGGACAGCAAATAGATCTAGTCTTCACACCCACCTAGGTTTGCACTCCTAATACTACTTACCCAGCCTGTTTGCTATGTATGAGTTTGAAATTAGATCAGATTTACTGCAAAGCAGGAAAACCCATAGACTGCGTAGGCCATGCATAATGTCAGCCAAGACAGAAGCAGACACAGCTGGAAGTGCCCCTCAAGAATGCTTCTGGCACTCTGATAGGAGCTTGCAGGTGATAAGGATAGAACATAATATTTTGACATGAACCTTTGTACAGATTGGTCACATGTAGCCCTTTGGAACTACAGACCCCACTCCCTTGGGCTTCTGTCTTGCATCTCCACTGCATAGGAGGGGCCCGTAAGGCCTCACTAAGCATATCCACATACAGCTCCTGTCCTTGTGATAGCCCTGACTCCTGTGCGACCATAGCTGTCATTCATATGGGAATGATTGTCCAGCTTCAGAGTGCTGTGCTCTTTGAAATCATAGATGAGTAACTACCTGAGCTGTTTTCAACCCCACTCTAGTCATCAGTCTAGGAGAACTCTTCCAAGTCTAGGATGTGCCTTCCCCATGGCTGTGTTTACCCTAAAACTCATGCTACCACCCTCATAGATGGGTTTCCTCTTGTCAGTTTGCAGGCTGTTTCAGACAATTGATTGGTAAAAGGTGCATGCTCTGCTTCCCTCAGTCTGACTTCTCAGGCCCACGCTAGTCCTGACTCTGCTTTTTTCTGTTACTTCAGCTGACCAGGGCTGCTGGGTGAATGGGTGAGTCCCCTGCTTCTAGTGGAAGCAAGGGGTGACCATAGCAAACCTTAGGTCTGCCCACCAAAGGATGTGATCAGTCCACCTGTCCTTCTGGATCATGAGCCCCCCACCAACACCTGGGCAGATATATGTGTGTGGGGACTGAGAAATGCTTTGTCTCCCGAGCCATGACAGATGGCCACACACATTTTCAGATATGCTGAGGCCTGAAATTGATTAGATCCAGCCACTTAAGGCTGGGGCAAGGGAGCCGGTGGCTCCTGAGCTGGTCTCTACTGCCACCTTCAGGATACAGGGAATCCATACCTTCTGCTAGAAGCCTCTGGACCCCGAACCTGAATTGCACCTTCATTTCCATCAGCGGAGGTCATGCTCCCTGGCCTGTGCTGAATAAGTCCCATCCATTCTTGAGTATGTTTTCACCCAGCCTCCCCAGAAAAAGACGGGGCTTTATGGAGGCTGAGGACAGGAAGCAAGGCCAGCTGCAGGTACTTCTCATCACCTACTCAAGTTAAACCTGGCCAGAACCGAGTAGCACCTCTAAGCTGACTCCACATACATGTGGTGTGTGCGCACCTTGCCTCAGCACAGCCTGGCTTCCTTCTAGATGTATGGTAACTGCCAAAAGGGTAGCAGTGCGGCATCCAAAGGGATAACATATCTTTGTGCTCCTTGACCATATTAGATGTTCTCTGAATATTAGTCAAATCAGGCCCAAAATGACTTCATAATTACTATATAAGATAACCTGGCTCAGACTTACTCTTTCTAGTGAAAAGAGTAGAAGCAGTTGGAACCAGAAGAACTGACCAGGTGATTTGACTCGTTGGGATTTCTGAACCAATTGAAAGAGTTGGATGGGGAGCAGCCTTAGGGCAAGGCAGGGTTGTCCAGGGAATGGCATCTCTTCACTCAACCTGACATCATGCCCACATTCTCTCAGCTCTTCTCCCTGTTTCTCAACCTGCACTCCCTGCTGGGGACACCCCCACACCCCTCTTGGGCCTCATCAGGTATATTCCCACCTGCCAGGATGGTGAGTCGGCTAGGCAGGCCCCAAATCTGGTTTCCGCAGGCTGTGGCCTCATGTCTAACCAGGACTGATCCCCCAATCTCTAAAGGAGGGAAATGATTGTCCACAGCCCTCCTCCACCCCTTGCTGGCACCACTGGACCAGGCTTTTCCTCGGAGGGTCTCAAGTCTCTCACCTACAAAGTGAAATATGTAAGAGCTCCCCACCCCCACTCTCTTTTCTAAGTTTAAGCCTGCAAGAGTCACCGCATTCCCAGAGTAGAGGCCTGGTGTACTAGAGAGACTTGCCTTGTGGAGCTAAACACCTGGACACAAACTCAGCTCTCCCACTTATCACCTATCAGACTTTGGACTAAGTAATCATCGACCTGATGTTTTCTCACTTCTACAAAATAGGAATAATGCCCATGTGTGTGTTATGCTCTGAATGTATTAGTTCAGGGCCTTCAGGAGGTAGATACTGTGATGGGATTAAGCATACAGGGATTTATTGAGGGAAACTCCTGTGAAGTACAAAAGCAGAAACTGGAGCAGGCAGGAAGAACCTCAGATTGCAATCCAGGACTGACACCTAGGAAAGGGGAAGGCAAAAGAAGGAGGACTGGATAGGAGGAGCCTTGGGCTCCAGTGCTGGCTAAGGAAGTTTCTACTATGCAGATGGGAGTCATCAGACATGGGGGTCCCCTGTCCTGCAGGAACACGCTTGCCCTAGTCCCCATGCCATAGTCGGTCCTGCCTGGGGGCTTCCCAGGAAGCCTGGTCTCAACACATGTGTGGTGGGGGATCCAGAGGCAGATCCAAAGGGAATGCAGCTGGGGCTGCCCCTCAGCTTTTGCCCCCTGCAGCTGCAGGCTTGAGGCCAGCATTCTCATGGCTGCCACACACACACACCCACCCCCAGCATGTTGTATAAATCAGAGCTGATGCATGCAAAGACCTGTCGTGGTGTCTGCCTTCAGGAGGGGGCTCGATGAATGGCAGTGGTCATTTAGTAGTTATTCCTCTTACTGTTAGGATTTTCTGTGCATTCTCAAACAGAGAAAGGCCACAGAGAAAGCACTTCCTCCAGTGTTTGAAAAGGTTTGTTCTACCGAAGGCTTGTAGGAATTTCCATTTCCCATCTCACAGCTGGTCGCAAACTGAAATTCCCCTCCCAAAAATGTCAACACAGGGCCCAGGACTCCATCTCAAAGTCAGTGACCTTCCTGCTTCCTGTCGTACTTCTGACAGGTCTTGGATGATTCCCCATTGACATTTCTGGGAAGTTGGCAGAGCTTGCTTAATTCACTTTGGTTTGAAAACTTGAGGAAATAGGGATCCCATTGATCTCTAGTGTCTTGACTGTGGTTATCTTTGGAGAGAGAGTGCAACAAAATTTCAATTAAATCAGAAAGAGGGTAGCTAACTGTGTTTGCACAGAACTGTGCGGTGTACAGAGTGCCACCTGGCCTGTTGTCGTTCCCTCGTGCTGGGGACAATATAGGATGGTGAGATGAAACCTGAGGGTCACAGGGAACCTGGGTTCAAGTGCCAGGAGTTATCTGGGTGATAGGAGCAATTTTTTTTTTTCATTTTCATGCACTTCATCTCTATCGTCTCTTAATGAGAAGAGTAACTACCTTCTTCAGACAGTTATTTTGCGGGTTTCATCAGACTGTAAAGCACATAGATCAGCTCAGCCAATATGTATAAGGCTAAATTGTACTTTTCTTCTTGGCTTAAAGGTCAGATTACTGAAATAATGAAAAGTTCTAAACCACAGACAGAGCCTTGGCCTTGAACCACTAACAGTCATGTAGCCCAGTTTTTCTTTCTAGAGCTCACTTTATGGAAGATGCTGGGAGGACAAGGAGAAAACACTCATTAATTAAGCACCAATTATGTGTCAGGTAGTGTACTTGGCACTTTGTATTCGTGCTCTTTTTAGTTCTTATTCCAACCCTGAGTTCCACAGTAATTACTGTGATGGAGTTACTGTCCTAGTGTCAAAGGCGCAGTGCCAGACTCGAGGCCAGGTGTTTCAGACACCAAGCCCGTACGTTTTCTATACCCAGGAGGCTGCTAGTGTGTAAATGAACTGACACTTGAGAGGCACTGGCAATGCTGTCAGCTTGTGAGAAGGAGAGAGCTAGGAACAGAACTCCCAGCCCCAACCCAGACCAGGCCACAACAGCAGCCGCCCTTCCTGCCGGCAGGCTTCTGAGCCAGGGGCAGTGTGGCCTGAGAGGAAGCAGAGACCTGAACCTCCCCTTATGGCCTCTGTTGCCCCCTAAACTCACCATCCCAGTTCCAGTGAAAAGTAGTAACAGTAACAGGTGAAAACATCAGAAAAAGGGAGCAGAGACCTGGGACAAGTCAGGATTCTTTGGACCACTGTTTTCTCACCTGTAGAACAAGGAGGTGCCCTAAATTAGCACATTTTCAGGCTAAGGGACCCAGCCTCCTTCCTCACCTCTGTTCTTTCAACCAGTTGGGAAGGAAAGAGTGGGAAAGAGAGGAGACCTACAATTTGAAAAAATCTGTGCCTGCCAGTCTAAAAATAGTTGTAGCTAAAACATTCAGAATCTGTATATTTTTTTAAACTTTTTAAGGAACCTGGAAGAATGATAGGCAAATTAGAAGTCTTTTTGATGAAAGCAGATTGCATGGAGTAGAAACTGTCTTCTCTCTTGACCTTGGCCAGAGGCCTTTTCAGGTTGAGCTGCCAGCAAGGCCAGCTACTGGAAGAGATACAGAATTCATCTTACAGGGTCCTGAGATCTCAGCTTGTGTGAGAGCCAGGTCCTACAGCTACTCCACACCAGGGCTCCCACAGACCCCCTAATGCTGGCCAAACCCTCAGGCTGCTGAGTAGAGAGATGGCCCTCCTCTGCCCCCTGGTGGCCATTACCACCATGCTGCACGCGTCTATGGACAGCTCAGCTTCTGCCCCGCTCCCCTGCACAGACAGGAATCAGAGTCTCAGCCACCCCACTGGCTCTGCTGATGGCAAGTCTGGGCAGAGATACCCAGTCTTCATTTGCTGCCTTCTCCCCAAGAAGACTCCTGTCACTCCTGTACACTGCATCACCCCTTACACAGAAAGGAAGCCTTTCCTGTCTGCATGCCCAAGCCACTCTGTTAACATCTGGCTTATCAGCAACACCCAGACACACTCCTTTCTCCTGGGGCACTGCAAGTCTCTGAGATTGAGCAGCAGACTCATTTGTCAAGCTGTGTAGAGCCCTATCAGGCCTCCATGTCAGTCTGTGCGGGTCATCATGAGGCAGAACCATGGACAGTTAAGAGCACAGACTTCGGAGTCCAGGTGTCTGGGTTTGCTCTTGGGCAAGTGGCAACACCTCTGTCTTCCTGTCTATAAAATGGAGACCCTAATGGTAGTGACCCTGTGGGGTTAAGTGGAGGATTAACTGAATTAATATTTCTGAAGTGCTTGGAACCCCGCCAAGCTATGTAACTGTTAGCAGCTTCTTTTTTCTAAACTATGATTATGATGTCAAAGCAGTTATTTACTTGGGGTCCAAACCCCTGCACAGTGATTTTGCTGTGTGCGCCTCTGCCATCAAGGGCATCTGTGGAAGTCGTGGGATAAGGTTCCCTGGGTTCTGCCTCACCCTCCATTGTATTTCCCTCTTACTGGAGCGCTCCTCACCAGCCCAGGAGTGCAGCTCAGAGCACACAGGCCTTTTCTTGGAGAAACTCAAGGAATGGCTCTGCAGATCCACAGATACTCCAGTTATGTCTCGGTCTCTTGCCCCTGAGCCCTGTGGATGCTGTACACACCACTCCGGCCTCATCTCCTACCCCCTGCCCCACACGCACGCCTCTCCAGCCTCATCGCTCTTGTCTTCTCACACATCATGCTGTCCCCACCCCAGGCCCTCTGCCTGTACTCTTCTCTCTCACTGGTTCTCTCTCTGCAGATGGCTAACTCCTTTCCCCCCTTCTAGACAGTCTAGACCCAGCTCTAGAATTTAAACTAAATGAGGATGAGTCTATAGTCTCAACTCCCTCCCCCCACCACTGTCTCTTCCTTCACCCTGCTTTATAATCTTTAAACAATTACCGCTGACACATTTACTGTATTTATTCATTTTGTTCATTACTTACGTATTGTCTGCCGCCTCTGCACCCACCCTTACACTTACAAGGAGGAAGCTCAGGAAAGCAAGGCTTCCTTATCCTTTTTTTTTCACTCCTTATCTCACTGACACCTGGCACAAAGGAAGCACCCAACATATATAGATATTTGAGTTTCTTGTATTATTTTTATTGAGGTAACATTAGTTTATATTATAGGTTTCAGGTATATAGTTTCTCAGCCACCAAATGTCTAATCACTAACCAAACAGCCCCCTTTACCTGTTCCCTCCCCGCTCTATCTCCTGTTATAACCACCATCTGTTGTCAGGGTATAGATATTTGTTGGATGGATGGATGGATGGATGGATGGATGGATGGATGGATGGGTGGGTGGATGGATGGATGGATGGGTAGATGGGTGGATGGGTGGGTGGGTAGATGGGTGGATGGATGGGTGGGTGGGTGGATGGGTAGATGGGTGGATGGATGATGGTTGGGTGGGTGGATGGACAGATGGGTGGGTGGGTGGATGGATGGGTGGGCGGATGGATGGATGGATGAGTGGTGTAAGTACCAAATGTATGACTGTCAGCCTACTGGGAGACTGGCATCTGTCACCTGGACATGCTGGCTCCGCCTTGCCACCCCTCCCGCTCTCTGACTTGGACTCTCCCTGCAGCTGTCTTGCTGACAGTGTGCTGCCTGAGGAGAAAGAAGAAGACAGCCAACCCAGAGAACAACCTGAGCTACTGGAACAACGCCATCACCATGGACTACTTCAACAGGCACGCTGTGGAGTTACCAAGGGAGATCCAGTCCCTTGAAACCTCTGAGGTAATGAGCACCACACCAAGGGGTCCCCCTGGAAGTGCTGCCCCTACCCCCCAGGGAGAGCATGGGGTCCAGAGGAGCCACAGAAAACCTGCTGATTTCTTAGCTCTTTCCTCAAAATATAGTCCGTACCCCAGCACTAGCAGCATGCGGGAAGCTGCAGGCCTGGCCCAGCTGACTGAGTCAGGGTATGAGCAGTAATCCCACAGGTGCTCTCCACACATGCTGGTGTTCAGGAAACACTGTTCTTGGCATGTGGGGACTGAAACTAAATTATAAATATTTGTTGAAGACTTGTCCTGTGGCAGCCATCCTCTGGGGAGTGTGAAAGTGAGCACTTGCTTTCAAGGGGCCCAGATTCTGAGATGTGGTCAAGGTACAGACCCCAAGCATCACTCCAAAATGAACAAATTAGAGGAGAGAGAAGATGAGTGGAAACCAAGGAGAGAAAAGCCTTCACAATGGAGGTGCTAGGAAGAATGGATAGATGTCAACAGGTATTCCAACAAAGGAAGTAGCCTGAGCAAAGTTAGGGTATGTGCAGGATGTGACCTATCACCAGAGAAAAGACCCACGGGTCAAGAAGAATTTGCCCAAGACACCTTTGAACCCAGGTCTTTCTGACCACAGAGCCTGTATTCTGTCCGGTCTCACAGGGCAAGGCAGAGGGCAGCCTGAGGCAGGAAAGGGAGATGCATTAGGCACAGCCTCAAATAGGAGTTTTTGTGTTAGTTGTGGGCAGGGAAGGGTCCTTGAAGGTGTAGAGACTTCGGTGGTCTAGTCTTAGGAAGCTTGTGCCGATGGCCTGGTGCAGCCCTGTCTACGTGACCCTTGAATGGATCGGAAGGGAAAGAAGGATGGATGGGTGGATGCATGGATGGATGGATGGATGGCTGCATGGATGGATTGATGGATGCATGGATGGGTGCATGTATGGATGGATGCATGGATGCATGGATGCATAGATGGATGCATGGATGGATGCATGGATGGATGCAAGGATGGATGCATGGATGGATGGATGCATGGATGGGTGGATGGATGGATGGATGCATGGATGGATGCATGGATGGATGCATGGATGGATGGATGCATGGGTGGATGGATGCATGGATGGATGCATGGATGGATGCATGGATGCATGGATGGATGGATGCATGCATGGATGGATGCATGCATGGATGGATGCATGCATGGATGGATGCATGCATGGATGGATGCATGTATGCATGCATGGCTCCCCTTCCAGCTTGATGGAAGCAGCCAAACACAGATCCAGCCCTCACAGGTAAACTGTGAGCCTAAAAGAATTTGGAAAAGCTCCATGTTTTCTCTTCTTTTTCCCTCCTCCTCCTCTCCAATCTCCTCTCCTTACTGCCCTCCCCACCACCTCTTTTCTCTGTTCTTTCTTGCCTCAGTTATTTCCTAAATAATTCTTTCATGCAATTCGCCTTTAGTGTACACTCGGTTTGTGAGCTATATAAAACAAGCCAGATCTCAGCCTCCAAAATTCCCCATAGCTCAACCCAAAAGCTAGGGGAAGAATTTCTGACCCCTCATTGACACACCGCCCTGTTTCCCTTATTTAGAAGCTGGTGTCAGGCCCCATTCAACTAATTCCAGCCTAGAAGGAATGTTTTTGTCCTCTGAAAGGATGTTTTGTCAACAAATACTTTTCTTCCTTTCTCTCCACGTTATCCATAGAGCCATGGGTATTTCCCCCTCCCCCCCCCAAAAAAATGTATATTTTGTGGTTTGTTTGAAAAGAAACTTCAAGGAATTACTCGTGGCTTCTGAAAGTGAGAACATTTCTAAGTCCTTCTGGCTTCAGCCAGTTTTACCTGGGCCTGTTGCTGATTCAGCCCTGAAATGAGCTGCAGGTTCCAAGACTTGACTTGTTTAGAATGGAACAAGCTGTGACTTTCCCCCCCTAAATTAGTAACTGGGCCTGAGCCTGAACACAGCCATTTAGTGATCTGCAAGTGCTGTGTCCTTGACATGACTGAAGCCACTCAGGTAGCCTGAGCTGTGATTGCCTATTTCTAGGCTTTTCCACTCCTGGGACTTATAAACAGACTAAACATCTTACGCAGCACCTGGTGCTACAAGAAATGGAACAACAGTTCCAGCTGGGCTCTGGGAGGATCAGAAGGGGAGGAATTAGCCCTAGAGCACCTGACAGGTGGGAAGCAGGAGAGGAAAGAGGTCGGCAAAAAGCAGAGGACTCTCCCAGAGGCCTGCAAGAGAGCGGCAGGAAAGAGTGTGTGGCACCTTTGTCCACAAGGCGCTGAGCACATGAGAGTGCTTTGAGCATGGTGAACCCCCTCAGACTTGGACAAGGAAACACCATCTCTGACAACCTGGGGTGGGATGATTCTGGAAGCAGGAAACCTTTTCAGAAACTGCTAAAATACCTAAAAGAAGAGCAGAGAAGTCACTGGCAGTGAGGATGGTTAAAAATGTTTACCCAAAAAAAGGGAAAAAAAAAATGTTTACCCAGCAATCCTCATGCAGGCACAAACGCCCCATGAAAGGCCCCTCCTCCTGTGAGTGGAACCCTCCCCTGCTCATGCCATGTCCCCCTCTCTCCCCAGGACCAGCTTTCAGAGCCCCGCTCCCCAGCCAATGGGGATTACAGAGACACTGGGATGGTCCTCGTTAACCCCTTCTGCCAAGAAACACTGTTTGTGGGGAATGATCAAGTGTCGGAGATCTAACTGCACCCCTCGCCTTGTCGGTCTCTACTTTTCATCTCTAAATTATAACTATACAAATAGATATTATAAATGTAATCTTTGTGTAACCCTGACTTAATGAGACACATTTTCTGCTTTTTTTTCCCCTAAGAATTGTCAACATCTTTTTTATAAGTGTGGTTTAAAAAAAACTTTACAGAACGATCCGTGGCTTTATAAAATAAAGATATTTCTAAGCAAAGCAGTTGCATTGATTGCGTCTCTTAATAACTGCCCATGAGCACGTGGAGGCCCCAGCAGCCGGGGCAGGTGAGGGAGGAGACAGACCTGTAGACCTGGACGCTAGCACGGTCAAGTGCGTGGCCCTCTGAATGCTTCTTAAAACTGGTTCCTCTTGATTCTGTGTGGCCCCACCTCCTCCCCTCTCCTGTGACACCCGTGAAAGGAGCAGTGGACTTGTGGCGGCAGCAGGAAGGGAGCACCTCACCACCTCGAGGACGAGTGCCCGGGCCCTGGCGATGGCACCGTGGGCCGTCCCGTGTTACGGACACAGGCAGGAGCTCGCCGCCTCAGGAACCCTCAGAGGACATCAGGCGTCCAGGGCCCCGTCCCCCAGGCAGCACCGGGCAGGGAGTTTCCACTGTGCTAACAGGACTGCCTTCCCTGGTGGAACAGAGGCTACCCTTGGAGCACATTCCTGCGTCCTCTCCACCCACATCTGCATTAACACGCCGTGCCTTTCTCTGGAGAGGGTTTAGATGCCGACCCCAGCCCTGAAGCTTTAGAATGCTTGCCCTGCGGAGATCCAGTGTTTACTGGGGTTCAGCTTTGTGTTCTCGAATGGCCATCGCATTGAGCCCCTGAGGAACATGTTTAAGAAGCCATGAGTATGGAACTGTCCTTTTCCTGCCATCATCAGACAACCAGAGTGCCAGGGCGGGGTCACTCTGGAGAAGTTGTCTTGATGCCCCTCCTCAGAACTGCCTGGGGGTCAGCAGGTGAACTTGCCACCCAGGCCTCGATTCCTTATCTCCCTGCATCGCTCCCTCCATTGGCAGGGTCCTCTGCACCCCCGGCTCACTGCTGTACCCAGTACGCCAGTGGGCGTCAGGCCCTCAGAGACCAGCAGGGGCTCCCAGCAATGGCTGTTTCTCTATTTTTTTCCTAATAGATAGTGGCTGGGAGAGAAGATGACTGCTTTGACACTTCCTTTCTCTAAAAGAAATAGTTTGATAGTATATTTTGAATATAGATGTTCTTATAGTCAGATCGAGAGTTGAAATTGAATGTCTGTTCATATGTTCGTGTTGTTGCTGTAGTCTTTTTATCATGACTTTTTCCTTTCTTCCTGCATTTTCTTTAAAAAAAGGATGGCCTTCAAAAATGTGTGTTCTCCATGTTGTATGACCTATTTAATATGCATTTCATGGTTGTCTCTCTTCGAAGACTTCAACCCACAAAGAAGCAGGTTAACTGTTGCTCTGAGATTCACTTTCTGGTGTGCTGCTGTCTGACTTTTAACCTTAACAAAATATTTCTGTTAGCTATTGTATTGCATTTAATATATAAATGTGTGTGTGTATATACAGAAAGAAATCTGTAAAGTAAAATCTATATATAATATATGTAGTCAAAGATACATATGTTATATATACATATGTGGATGTATGACTTATTTTTCCTTATCCACAGAATTCAGCTATCGTGTATATATAAATAAACTTATTTTATTAGCCAGAGGATTAAGTTGCTAATACATTTTGCATTCTTTTCATTTTCAACTAACTTTTGTCTTCCTTTCGTACCAACACCACCTTATGTCAATCTGTGCTTCTTAATCTATTTGAACAGTAAGTTGGGTTTGATGACCATGATGAGCTAATAGGATTAAGAGTTTATCATTTGATAGAACAAATCCTTGAGAACATGTTTATAATTCCTCTAAAGAATTATTTCTCTTCAGGTCTTTGGAGGCATGTGTATCAATTAGGGTGCCTCCCCCGTTCTTTTCTCCTGGGGTCAGGACTTTCTTGTAAATATATTTGTGACTGAGAAATTTGCACTTACCATGGCCACTGAGTGTTACCGTTCTAGAGAGAATAATAATGTTGCCTAAATATAATACTGCAAACAACTCAATCGCTTGAACCCTTCGTGTAGCCTTGAACTATTCTGGTATTCTTCCCTCTCCATGGAACCTAGTCAGCATAGCCTATGTTAGGCTGTTATATCATAACACAGTCTCCTGGGTGTAGTGGCACTGCAAGGTGCACCAAAAGTGGTGGTACAGGAAGATCGCCACATCCAAATAAGGCATCTTCCAGCCTTTACTTGATGGATGATTCCTTAATCTGTCAATCATATAACTTACCTTAATATTTATAAAGTATCTTCCATGTCATCTCATATAGACAAAGTAGACAAGGAGAAAGGGGCTGTGGTATCCTATGTGGAAGGAAGAGCACATCGAATGTTCTAGTAATCAACTTATGTTCCACTTATGAGACCTGGATTTGCCCAAGGTTTAATTATTTGTTTTTTCTAGGTAAAAATTGCAGAGGTTTTTAGGTTCATTGTGTCAGTCCCTGGGCTGGAAGATCCTTTCTGGACCTGGAGATGTGACTGGCCAGTTTATAACTCTGCCTGTGTATTCGATTAGGTACCTGCTCTCTGGTGTGAGACCGAGACAGCCCTAGATAAGTCACTGGACTAGGAGTCAAAAGAGGCCTTTTCACCCCAGCTCTGCTCCTTTCTTGGGAACTTGGGTAAGTCTTGCAGCTCCCAGGGTCTTTATCACAGAAAGGATACGAGCCAATCATAAGACCCATGGTGATACTGCCGGAGTTGTGCAGTGTGGAGCCCTTGTGGCAGTACTGTCAACCCTGTACCTGCTCTTAAGGGTGAATGAAGAATTCACCGAAACAAAGCATGGAAAAATAAAGTATACAGAAGGTGACTCCCTTCCCCACTCACTCGAGGTATATTCCCACCTTTCAGAATCAGAGATTAAAAACTCAGCTCTAGGTTTAGTTATTTGGTTTCTCTAGGTAAAACTTGTGTGCAGAAGTTTTTAGGTCCATTGTGTCACCCCTGGGCTGGAAGATCCTTTCTGGGCCTGGAGATGTGACTGGCCATGACCACATACCATGGCAGATGCTGAAGGCAGGAGGTAAAACCCAGGGGGCATCATTGAATCCTAACCTGGAGCACCCTTGAAGACCTTACTGGGAAACCTCTGTTTTTATTGGTTTTCTGGCAAATGGTTATAAAGGCATAACAGAGGCATAAAGCTAGAGCATAATATTTGTTCCACTTATGAGACCTGGATTTGCCCAAAGTTCCTAGCCCAGGGCATCAAAGAGTTAGAGGCCAGGTCAGTGCATGGAAAATAAGGTCCAGAGAGATGTAGTAACATGGCCAAGGTCGAGGGCTAAGGAACAGAGTGTTCAAGGGCAGAAAGCCGGGAAGGGAAGGGAAGCTGCTCCAGACTGAAGGAGCAACAGGCTGTCTCTCTCTAGTCCCTGAGGCAGCCCCCCGACATGTCCACCTCATATCTGTTTCCATCCCTGTTACCTGTGTGGACATCGAGGCACATTCACACATTCATACACACAGCACGAAGAAAGATAAAGAAAGCCCTAAAATCTATCCTGGATGAATCCTGGCTCAGCCTCTTACTAAATATGTGATCTGAGCTCTGACCCTCAGTTTACTTGTCTGTCAAATGGAGTTGCTTGATGCCTGCCTTGCCTCTCTTCGGGAGTGAAATACACAAACCCATAGTCTGCATTGATCAAGCCAGCAGAAAAATCTGGGAGGTCAGGCACATGATCCTGTGGAGAATACACCAGTCCCTGCATGCAGCCCTGGGCAGGGTCCATTTCTCTTTCAGTTTGGTGAATGATGGAAGCTCATGGAAAACAGCAGACAAAGTAACCCCAGGGGTAGGGAAGTTTCCCTGTGACCAGCCATGCCAATGCTGGAAACCAAAACCCACTGAAGTCTAAACCTCATAGGCACAGCCGAGGCAGAAGGGGTGATGAGCACAAGGCGAGCGGTGGTGGACATGCCCTCCAGGGCCACTTCCAACATGTCCCTCCAGCGGCACAGGGTATCCTACAGTGGAACACAGCCATCATCCTCCTTGGGTAGCCCCTCAGCCTCTGGGACCAATGTCGTGTGTAGCCTTGTCTGAGCACTCAGGGTCTATGTAGGGGTGGCACTGAGTGGGTGCACAAGTAACCTGGGCACCCGCGTGACCCTCCAGGCCTGGGCATCAGCAGTGTCTTCCTGCATGGCCGTGGAGCTCAGACCTGGCCACTGCTCCTATTCCAGGTCTGGAGAAAGGCCTCCTTGCTGTTGCAGACCTTGGGGCTTGCCTGGTGGAATACATAGCCAGAGAGCATGCCCTCGAGCAAGTCAGCTGCGGATGCACCTCAGAACTGGAGGCTCAGCTGCGGATGCACCTCAGAACTGGAGGCTCAGCTGCGGATGCACCTGGAGAGCAAGGGGTGCCCTCAGCCTCCTGGCCAGCAGCTGCCAGCAGGTGAGTGCCTAAGGCGTCCTGAAGGCTGTGTGAAGGCCAGGCCAGGAGTGGTGGGGGGGGTCATCAGCAAGTAATCCTGCTGAGGCAGAGCAGGGGAGGGAGTGGTGTGAGGCCAAAAACCTCTTCACTTTCATGCTAAAAATCCTAATGACAACAATCACAACTATGACCACCAGCTGCCTTCACAGGGTTAATAGGCGCCAGGCCCTTGCTAATCGCTCCACATGCACTTTCCTCTCTAACGTTGAAAACAATGTTATGAGACAGCCCATTCGTTGATTGCACTTTTTCAGATAAATACAGATGAGAAAACTAAGGCATACCCATGTTAATTTGCCCAAGATCACTCAGTAAAGGGAGAGAACTGAGATTTAAATCTGAATTCTTCTGACTTTATTTGTAATTTTCAAAAGCTTGTGTTTGTTCCACTCCCCCAGACTGCCTCTGGAGCCTTTGTGTTAAGAAAGGGTTTTTATAGCCATCACAAATTGATTACCATGCTGCATAAGGTGCTGCATAAGAAGCAATGAATAAATGGAGGTATGTTCCTGTATCCATCCCCAGCAGCACAGTCCAGTAGAAATATGAGCCACATAAGGTCATTTCCACATTTCAGTTACCCACAGTAAAAAAGCAAAAACCAAAAGAAGGAAGTAAAATTATTAGTAGTTTACCCTTTTTTTTAAGATTTATTTTTATTTACTTAGGCATATAAGAACTGGGGTATAGGCCAGAGGAATGGGTGGTGAGAGGGTTCACCAGAGAAAGAACAGGCATATCCACTGAAATACACTGCTGAGGGGAGCAGCAGTCGAGACAGGAGAGGTCTGCTGCACCATGTGGGTCAGCTCCCTGTCCAGGGATGAATCAGGCTGCAGTGGCTGGCGATAGCTTGATAGTACTGAGACTTTAACCCCTGCACCACCACAGAGGTGCCCAGTGTATCTTATTTAAATCAATATATTTTCAATGTTATTCCAACATGTCAGCAATATAAAAAATAACCATAATAGTTTACATTGAAGGAGAGCTTGCTGCAATGATGCAAATGTCCTATAGATGCATTGTCTAGTCGGGCCATCACTAGCCACATCTGGCTATTGAGCCACCTGCAATATGGCTAAGATTGAATTCAAATTTTTATTTTTATTTAAAATAAAATATTTAAATAGCTGGGTGTGGTTAGTGGCTGTCTTATTGAACTGGGCAGTACATGGGTTTCATCTCTCCCTTGCTTGGTCAGGAGCTGCTCTCCAGGGTGATTTCTGTAAAGAGCCAAACTCATCCATCATGTCTGGCCTGCAGCCTGCGGTTCTAACACTGGGACGCCAGCCAGCACTGCGCATCTCATCTGGTCTCTCTGTGGGTCAGAGAGACCACCACACCCCACCCCACAATTGCTAGCCTCAGGATTCCTCTGAATTCAATCTACATCTAACGTAGCCTGTAACTGCCAGCTCAGAACCCTTGGTCCTTGACCTGCAGTGCCAACCAGCCAAAAGAGGTCATTCTCATTAGCAGATGGGGGCCTGGGTGATACAGAGCTTCCAATTTGCCCTCTGTCTCCCGCCCCCCAACTTCACCTGAAGATGCTTCCCCTTCATTGTCAGTACCAGCTAACAGCCCAGGACACAAGACACACAACCTATCGTCTCAGCCCCTCCCACCCACTAGATGCTATTCTGCTGGCATCAGTTGGATTGCTGCATCTTCCAGCAGTCCATAGACTTTAGAGCTGGGAAAACAAAGACAATCATCCCTCCGGGATTCTTCCCAAGGTCCTGACTCCAAATAGTGTGTCCTGTGAACCACCAGAACATCCCTAGAGGCTCTAATCTGTCATCATCTGCCAGCAATTTCTTGCACTCAGGTACCACACAGACTTTTCATGAGAAGTTGGGCATGCCAATTTCTAGGTCAAAAAGTTTGATCACAAAACATAGTGCAAGCACAACAGAGGCTGACTTAGCCTGGCTCCAGCTCACTGCAAAGACTCAGTTACCTTACCCAACTTCATCGAGCTTCAGCTTCCTTATCTGTAAAATGGGTGTAATAATCTGTGGATTCTCCAGCAGATCCATAGATAAATCAGCTGTATGGTTCCTGCCAGCAGGTAAACTAGAGCTGAGCACATCACTCACACAGCTGCAAAGATCAGAATCCCAAATGGGGTCATTCCTCTTAAGTGACTATAAGTGAGTCCCAGGTATGAACAGAGTTGTCTTTTTCTTCTTTTCAAAACATGCATATGAAGATGCAGTTAAACCAACCTCTAAAATGGAGTTATTTCCACATCACAGACCAGCCTGGCTGTATTTTTTTTTTAGATTTATTTCTTTATACAAGAATTGGGGTACAGGTCAGAGGCGTGGGAAGGTGAGAGAATTCACCAGAGATAGAGCGGGGAACAGAACAGGCAGATGGACCAAAGACACTGCTGAGGGGAGCAGCGAGCAAGGCAGGAGAGGTCTGCTGCGCCATGAGGGTCACCTCTCTGGCCAGCGGGGAATCGAACCTGCGCTGCAGAGGCTGCGGACATCTCCACAGAGTGGTGCTCAACCCACTGCGCCACTGGGGAGGTCACCAGCCTGACTGTATTAATCTCCGCGCATTAAATATGACAATATACATGTGATTTGAGAAATCTCATGATTTTCCAAAATGCACATGATTTTTCTTTTACTGCTATTGCAAAAGCGACCCACATCACCCATACCCCCCTCCCAGTCTCAACATTGGCTATGGGGTGACTTCAGATACCTGCTCTCATTTCTGGTTTCCTCTACCCCTCCACTAGAATGATCTTTTGGACATGGGGGATCCATATTATGTCATTTCCCAAGGGCACAATCCATGACCCTGGGCTCAGTTCACAAAGCCCCTGGTTCCCAGTCACAGCGCCGGTCAAAGAGCAGGCAGGCCTGGTGGCTCTTGAACCCACTCCATGTCCTGTGCTCCTCTGCTCCTTAGTGATACTTCCTTGCTCCTTTGACACATCCCCCGTGCCAAGGCCCTCGCACTCCAGGCTCACTTAGACCAGGACCAGGTCTGCCCATCATAATGAAGGGATGGAAAGGTATAAACTGGGAGTCAGGTGGACTTGCATTTGGCTTCTGACTTACTAGCTGGGTGACTAGGTCAGGTACATGACTTCTCTGGGCTTGTTTCCTTATTTGCAATTAGGGGATCAATATATCTATTGTGCAGAACTATTCAGGGGGTTAACTGGTTGACTAGATGCAATATACATGGTAAAATCAGTGACTAAAAATTTAGAAAGACCATCTCATCCATGGCCTTGAAGACCCCTTGCAGAGCCATGAACACAACCGATGCACAACAAAAAGTGGGATTGCCTTTCAGATCCTGGTTGGGCCTCTTCCTCAGATCAGCCACCCAGACATTCCATGTCCACCATTTGCTATCTTCAAAATGGATGAACACTGCTCAAGGTCATTGTGAACACTCAAAAAAAATAAGATGCAGAAAGGGGCTCCAGAAACTGAGGTGCTGTGACATGCAAGATGGCCAGGCCAGTCAGAGCACTCCTAGGGACCTGGGCCTCTGACAGAGGGACATGCCATATGTCCTCTTCAGGGCATCAGCTGAACCCCTTCTTCCTTCCTCCATCCGTACAGTGTCCTCTTCACCCAACAGCCACAGGAGACGAATCCTTCCTATGCCCTATGCATCCCAAAAATGTATTCCCAACTCAGGCTACTCCAAAATAGTGCGTTTTTAACCATGGAGAGGGAGCCGTATATCTGCCCAGGTGCATCCTCATGGAGCCCTGAACCCACCAGAGCTATGCAAAAGGTCTACCACCAGCTGGACCCCAACCACTTTCCAGGCCTAGAGAACAGTCCCCAACAATCCATGGTAATTTCAAAAAGTGCTTCTTCCCTCACCTGAGGCTCAGAGGCAGCAACACCGTGGTGAGTGTTGCTGGGCCCCCAGGACCCCAACACTCTCATTCCTCTGTCCTTACTTCGGCTTCTTGGCCTGGAACCTCCTGCCCATCTTTCCAAACTCATGCCCCAGCATTCCTTATTCTTCACAACACTCCCCTACTCCCTCCATGTGCCTCTGCCCACCAAGCAGAACTCCTCATCCTTCAAGTTCAGTTCCAAGGGCCTCTCTGTAAGGCCCTCTCTGAACTTCATGGACTCCTCAGAAGCCAGCAACTGAGCACTGAAAGGGCTGCATGGTGGATGGGCAGCTACAGAGAAATTCTGCCTCTTCCTTATCCTGGCCCAAAAACAGAGACTCCAACAGGACCTGACCTCCCCCACCAAGAGCAGGCAAGCCAGGAAGTTCATTTCAGCGGCACTTTCTCAAATCAGGCTAGGGGCAGCAGCAGGGGGATTTAGAGCAAGTGACAAGCACAATTTCTTTTTATGTTTGCCACTTTGGTAGAAACGAACTGCTTTTTTAGAAATAAAAATGGCGGTGGACAGGGAACAGGAAGCTCCTGGGGCCTTTCTGGGGATGGAACTCCTTTGCCCAAGAGTCTCCCACAGCCTCTTCCACCCCCCACTATGAGGAGACAAAGGCACAGCAGGCCTTCAGAAAAACTGGTAAGAGGAGCTTGAGGGGAAAAGACCACAACAAACACAAAACAGACCAGCAGGAAGTCCACACCTTGAGGTCAGGAGAGCAGTCCTGGGGAGACCATCCCCTCTTTATCTGCCCCATAAGCTCATGAGCCCTGGAAGAACTGGTGTCACAGCAGCCTCAATTTCATGGGCATTTGACTCTCAGTCCCACAGGGTCCCCTGCTCGGGAGCCACGGTGGGGGTTTAAAACTCTGCAGCCACCATCTTGAAATTCTTAACACACTTATGTTTGAATTTGGGTTTTGTTAAGTGCGGTCCAGTGGGACAATGGCCCATGTATCAGGGACATGGAGCCCTGGATCCATGGGAGGGGTGGTTAGTGCTCTGCCCACAGGAGCCAGGTGCCTCCCGGCCTCTCCCCCAGCAGGGCCTGGTCACATGGAT